TATTTGCGCTGTCCAAGGGCTACCAATGCGCCGAGTCACAATTAAAATATTTTAAGCGCACTAGGTTATGTGATAACGATCATATACCGTTATCATTGCACAGACAAAGTCATTATATGACTTCTCAACATTGATATTCAAAATATTGAACTTATTCAGCATTTGTTGTTTAATCACATTCCAATTTAACATATTTATACAAAATTATGACCACCAAAAGCTTACAGAGAAACTTTCACTCTCGGCACGTACATAATGCCACCACTTTGGTGGTATGTAAAGGCAATCGCCTGCCTGTAAAGTTACATTATAAAAAGCAACCTCTGCTGCTAACGGAAATCGCTCTAAGTCCAACCGAGTTGCATCCAATTGTGAGGTATTACAAAGCATTTCGGAATCATGAGGATACAACTTTGCAGTATCAGTCGGTGCTGCTAATATGACCTGCTTTCGGCCAAACACTTGACAGAGCAAGTTGTGTTCGGGATCATAATGCAGTGGTGATATGGTATTTTTAGGTCCCAACCAAGCTTTAATTGAAACCTTTTCAGGATCGGAGCTATTATCGATGGAGTGCAAAATACAGTAGTCGGGTATGCGTATGTCTGTTCTAAGTGCCGGTATTTGATCGAACAGTTCATGTTGTGCCAAATATTCGATTTGTGTGTTGTCTTGCACAAATTGTCTGCGCAGGAAATCGCGTATTTTGACTAGCTGCTGTGACCATTCATCTGTCGTGTAGTTGGCACCGATTTCAATTGGCACTGTTCGATTACCGGCTAGTTTATGTAGATAGTTAAGATCCCGCCATTTATGCATAGCAGGCCAATGTGCAATTGTGTTGAGCAGCAGCGCTGGTTGCTCGGAACTGAAACATATTTTGCGAAAGTTCTCAACTGAGGGACAATCCAAGACGGGTATATCACATTTATATTGTTGACGTTCAAGCTCAGCTATGATTGGCAGATCACTCTCTGCATTGTCCTCTAATAGGAGATATGTACATATATGTGCATTCATTTTTGTTTAATTAAAGTTTTGGCAGTGTCTACACACACGCGCCACGGTAAATTTTACCGTAGATCCACGGTAAAAATTACCGTGGATCTACGGTAAAATTACCGTGGATCTACGGTAAAATTGCCGTGGATCTACGGTAAAATTACCGTGGATCCACGGTAAAAATTGGATCTACGGTAAAATTACCGTGTATCTACGGTAAAATTACCGTGTATCTACGGTAAAATTACCGTGGATCTACGGTAAATTACCGTGGATCCACGGTAAAAATTGTCGTGGATCTACGGTAAAAAATACCGTGGATCTACGGTAAAAAATTACCGTCGATCCACGGTGTATTTACCGCGAATCCGCGGAAAAAAAATTACCGTGGATTCACAGTGATTTTCGAAGCGTGCGAATAACTGTATTTTTTAACAGTAGATCTACGACAAAAATTAGTGTGGCCCCGAGGTTATCTATTTTTCCAACGTGAATGAACAATCCTAATTTCTCATATAGATGTATCACGAGAGATGTATGTAAATACCTAAGTTACTGCCATTCATTCAAAAATCAGTTCGTTAATTAGTTGATAAAAATCGTGCAATAATAATAACCTTTGAG